GCAGTTACCTTGTATCTCTGGAACGTTCCCATCTGCCTGACATACTGGAGGGATCAATAAGAGAACACCCTGCCAAAAGTACGAAGCATTTCTTCTTCCTGATCTTGTTTGTAGTGGCAGGGTCTGTTGCTCATTCTTAGGGCTCTGGGATCTGAGCTGTGGCTGCACATGGGGAGGAGGAAGATGGAAAAGGAGGGGAGCATTGGCCAGTTTATCAAGACACAAAGGGAAGATTCTCTCTTTGGGTATCACATTGGAAATGATGATGGTAATTGTTATGGGCCATGATCTCCGGGGTTTTTATACTGAAGTCTCATGTAGAATCTGTCCTTGCCATGATGCTGTGAACAGGTGTAACTATTACAGAGCAGGGAACTGAACAGATTCTTATTTTCAGACAATACACTTAGCATTTGAACATCCCTTCATTTGTCTGTGGGTGACGGGCTTGCTCTGTTTGCTGATGTTATAAATCATCACTGATTGGGCAATTCCTGTTGGATAGTGATTTATTTGACACAGTTCTGCAGGCTGGCAAGTCCAAGCTCAAGATGTCATATCTGGTGAGTCCCCTTCATGCCATGATCCAACGTGACAGAAGTCTTCACATCTACAGAGAACAGCAGAGCCTGTCTTTGTCACTTTTCTACTGCAGTGATGACCGAGGCAGCTTGTAAGAGGGCAGGTTTATTTGTGGTTTACACTTCAGAGTCCACCACTATCACAGCAGACAGGCCGGCATGGCTCTGGAAAGAGTTCACATCTTGATCTACAAACAGGAAGCAGAGAGAGTACACCAGGGATGACAAAGTTCCTCAAGCAAGGCCACACTCCCTCCCTCTCCAAACAGCCCTCAACTAGGGACCAAGTGTTCAAATGCCCGAGACTTAGAGACATCCCAAACAAGCACAGATCACGCTTGCTACAAAGACGTGATGCGGTAAGGACACGAGGATGACTAGCCACCTCTCACAGGCCCTATATCCCAACACCTCTGCTGTGAGAGTTAACTTTCGAACTTGTGAGCTTCGTGGGACACGAACCCCACTGATGGCGGTTATTGCCAGTTGATAGGAAGAGAAGCAGAGGACCCGCGGAGACCAGAAATGCTGTAGGAGCCTGTTCAAGGTTCTTGCCGGGCAGCCGAGACTTTGAATTCTGGGCTCTACACCGAATACTGTGTCCTGGTTATCATGTTCTGGAACCCTCACAAGGCGTAGAGAAATGGGAGCTCACATGCTTTCATCATGATAATGATAAAGACGGAAATGGCAGCGGTGACAAAAGATCAAGGCTCTGGAGCCAGATTGACCAAATCCCCATGACACCGCCGGGTAACTTCGGACAACACATTCATTTCCCAATGTGTGCAATGGGGAAGGCAGCTGTGCCTTTCTTGGGCAGCTGTGTCTTCTCGAAAGGTCAGGAAGAGACCATCCATATACGACTGTGATGGCCGTGGCTTCCTCCACACATTCTCCCTGGTCCACACTTTGCCATATGTGAGGTTAATACCGTGGGGTTATTATGGCGAAACCGGCAGGTAATGGATGCCCAATAAATATTAGCAGGGTGAAGGACTGGAATTTACCAGGTGGTTTAGAAGCCTCCTACAGTCATTAATCTTTTCTTAAAAGGATTCTTCCCACAACTTCCTGCAAGCAGGGAGCCTGTTCAGCAAGTTTTCCCTGGGTCTGCTTGGTCACAACGTCCTGAGTCCTGTGTACCACAGTCCCCAGCTGGGCATGAGGGCTTCTCCAGAGACAGATGAAGGCAGACACTAGCCTTCTAGGAAGCCACCGTCCTCCCAACTAGCTACTCCAAGGGTATGTTTGAACCAGAGCCTTCCCCCAGCCCAGGAATGGGGGTGACTGGCTAGCTTGCCGCAGAGGCTGCAGAGCCTGTCAAGGTTAACAGATAGTCCTTGGCTCTCCCTTTGGAAGCTGTGCAACTTCTCCCCTGACTTGGGCTACATTGTTTCAAAGCATGTGGTATAAACTACTGACCACTGGGGAATTGCTTGAATTAACAAACTCATTTCCCCCAGACCTGCAGTTGACGTTGCAAGAGGAGTTCAGGGCTCTTTTGCAGAATCCAGGAGGTCAGGAGAACTCAGGTTGCACTGGGTTTTCGGTCTTTGCATGGTAGGCCTCTCCCTGTCTGCATTGTCTCAGCCACTCTAGATTGATAGGACTGTGGTGAGCCAGGGCAGTGACTGGCAGTGGACCCGGGCTTGGGAGAAAGTTTGGGTTGGAAGGAGTTTCACACAGTCCTACCCTCCTCCTGTTTTCTCCTGCATTGGGCTGAACCTACCCTTCCGAATGACTTTGCCTAAGAAATGAGGGTGCCTGGAATCTCAGCCCTGGGGAGTCAGAGGCAGAAGGGTTGATTTCTGCAAGATCAAGACCTACATAGTGATTCTGAAGTATAGAGTGATCTATATAGTGATTTTATAGTATACAGTGATCTATATAGTGAGTTTTAGGCTAGTCAAGGATGCAGTGTTAAACAATGTATCAAAAAGGAAGGAGGGAGGGAGAGATAGGGGGAGAGAGAGAGAGAGAGCAGGTTTGTTTTTGTTTTTTGTTTTGTTTTACACACTGATAGAGAACTTCTAGAACCTACCTTTGAAGGAGACTCTTGGGGAGGCAAGGGTGCATAGCCCAAATTAGTGGTCCTTAATCATGGCTCAGCCTCCTGGTCACCTGGGCGCTGTGTAAAACAGCAGCTGGACCTCCTCACCCTGGATTTATCCAGCAGTAAGAGGGGAAGGGGGGCCTCCAACCTTCTTGTGGCCATAGATGTGAGTCCTTATTTGTGTGTCACAGAGGGTGGGTAATGGCTGGTGTAGCAGGAGTTCTAATAGGTCTTAATAATAAAAGCCCAGAGTCAGATATAGGGGAAGGTGCCAAGATCAGAGAGACAAAGGAACAAAACCACAGCCACCTTACCCACTCAACTTCCCAGTCAAAAGAGAGTGAGATCCTGTCTCCTCCCACCTTATCACTTCCTCTCTGTCCTGACCTCCAGACCTCTATGGTTAGCTAGTGGCTGTCTCCGCCCTCTGATCTTCAGACAAGCTTTATTTGTACAAATGACCACGGGCTGGCTGCCTTGGTCATTTTCTGTTGAGGAATTCTGTTGACAGACTCCCTGCCCCCGCCCCCCCCCCCCACATACCTTGGCATGTTGGAGAGACACAGCGGCCTTGCACATGCTAAGCAAGTGCTTTTTTTTTTAATTTTTTTTTTTTTAGTTTTACGAGACAAGGTTTCTCTGCATTGTTTTGGAGGCGGTCGAGCCAGCCTGGCCTCGAACTCACAGAGATCTGCCTGCCTCTGCCTCTTGAGTGCTGGGATTAAAGGCGTGCACCACCACTACCCGGCTAAGCAAGTGCTCTTAACACTGCCTTATGCCTCTGCCCTTGCGAGCAAATGTGTGATGCTTAGGCTATCTTCGGATCCTTCAACACTGGATGAGAAGCGAGAGTCTTTCTGTGGGGGAGGGTTCCACACCTCTGCTAGATCCCCCACTGACTAGTCACTGAGCCGTTACTTTAAACCACTGTCTTATATTCTCAGCTATGGTGAGACTTCTGAAGCAGACGGGACTGCTTCTGTCATTAAAGGAACACGGAAGCTCTTGAGAGTCTGTCCTTCCGCCCTGTCATGTTGGTGCTGTAGCTGTAGCTCAGTAGGGTTGCTCCAGGGAATGGAGTGTGAGGACAGGGGCCGTGCCACCTGTGTGTACTGAGCCTCTCGTGTTCCCTTCTGCTGTGCCCTGACAGCATTGTGCCTTGCTCTCCCCCCATTCCACAAGGGATCCCGCTATGTCGGGGAACCTAGAGGCCCCTGCAGTGTGTGCCTTGGAGATGAAGAATGTCCCCAGCATCTTGGCTCTTTGCAGAGGTGGGTGCCCAGGGATTGTGACTCCAGGCCACTTGGGTTTGCATCCATGGTATTCTATTTGTGGGTCTCTGGTTAGGTCAAGGCCAAGCTTCTAGGGCTTTGCTAATTCCTCTTAAGACACCAGACTGGCAATGAATGCATCCGCAGCGGCTGTCGTACATGGTGTTGGTTGTAGGGTTGGAAGGCTCTGATAGGGACACGCCAGTGCTCCTGCTTGGATGCCATGATCCTGGCGGTAGATCTGGTGCTACCCGTGGGTGCTGCCCCTCTCCTGCCGTCTGCACTTCATACAGGCAAGCGTGTGCTTTTTACGTGTCTATAGGCTTCCTTACCGAGGCGACATTTACATGCTATAAAAAGTCCATTAGCTGAATTTAAGCTTCTCCAGAGATCGGGGGGGGGGGGGGGTGGTGGCTAATCTGCATCTGGCATTTGACACATGGGCTTGAAAAATCCCACAGACTCCTTCTGTTGGACCGAAACTGATATTGGAGCAGTAAGCTCTATGGAACAGGCAGGTGGGTAAATGAATGTAAGAGGTAACGGAGGGAGAGAAGGCTACGTAGGACCAAGTGTATGTTTTATAAAATAGGGGAGACTGGTATCTATCTACTGGTTTGTGTGTGTGAGTATTCAGTGAATAGCTTCTATTTCTAGCACCAGTAGCACAGGCGGTATTTACGGTTGTGACTATCACCAAAACAACTTGGTTATTTTTATAGATTGAAGAGCTTTAAAACCATTCACATTTTGAAAACTGGTGCTCAGAAGTCTTTGTTTTTGCCTTTTGGCTAAAGACTTCACTGGGTTAAGAATCAGTACAAGGCTGGCTTTTCCCAGTGCTGTACGTACTGTATCTAAGCCTGAATTTTATATCGAGTCCTGTGACCCATCTGTAGATGGGCCAGTACTGCTGGCTTCCTCTCCTGCCCTGGGAAGGTCACCTGAGTCCTAGAACTGCCATGGGCACCGTGTGTTCAAAGCAAGGTCTCCCCTACATATCTGCACCTTGGCAGAACTTGCCTTTGAGACCCTAGTGTGTCTTTGAAAGCCTGGCTTAAGGAATAACCCAGCTGTGTGCTTTCCCCGCAGACTCTGCTGGCCTCCTGGAGAAGCACCACCTCTGGAGCATGGATGACGGTAGGCTCCCAGGGACCAGGCACAGAGCCCTCTCTTAAGGAGCCTTTCCCTAACCCATTGCTGAACATCTAGAGAAGGCTCACTGAAAGAGTTCTTGAGGGTACTGCCTCAAATGGTATGGTGAGAGGTGGTGACAGACCCTAAGATAACACCAGACTGAGAGAGGCTTCAGCTTGACTGAGGGCGTGGACTCTCCTGAGCCTCAGTTTCTCATGTTAAAATAGGAATGGCCATCCCCGTCTCCCAGTTGCTCTGAGGGTTTTGTGACATGGTGACCGTGTGTCATAGACACAGGAGAGTCCTGTGCCACCACTCCCGTGAGCCTGAAGTGGAGTGGCTTGCTTAGTTGCCTTTGTAAACTACATGTGCTTTCACCTCCTTTAAGTGATACCCAAAGTCCCAGGCACTGAGCTGAGCCTGTCACCAGCTGGGCCGGCCAGCAAAGGGTTGCCACCCATGGGCTGTGACCCCTGACTAACTCCTGTCAAGAATTTCAACACCTTCTCCCCCACCCTAGGTTTGGGGAATTTGGAGCAGAAAGGCTATTCCTGGCAGTCCTTGGGGGTATGCCCAGCTTCCTGATGGCTAGCAGACCCTGGGACTAACCAGGCTGTGGAACTCGGCCTGGCCGTGACCTCGGGTCCCAAACCTGCCGGTGGTGCCCTGCTTGTCATCTGCAGCCTTGTCAGGGCCAGCTCCGTGTTCCTCTGAGTCCCTGGTGGAGCGTACTGAGTTATGTAATGCTGCTGAGCCAACATCGGTGAGTCACAGCCAATTTGCCGACCTCCAGTTACACTGCCCAGACACTCCACGTCACGGTTGGCTTTTGTCTTGGAGGCCGTAAGCAGATAGCGTAACCACGCTTACCATTAGACATTTTGCAAATCATCTGGGTTCGAGCGTGCCGCAGCCAGACAGTTCATTTATGCTGCGGATGGTATGATTTGTAAAGCAATAAATTTCCCATCTCTCTGCCAGCAATAAAGTACAGCAAGCAGGCGAGGCCAAAGCCCTCAAACACACACCGGCTCCCCGTGAGACCTGGGGAGTGTTCTGTCAGGTTTTGCTTCTCCATCCCTGAGTTCTATGGATTCTGAGGAATCAGGTTTGGGTCATAAATCTCCTCTTCCATCTGGGTGACTCCTGGCCCAGCACGGATTTGTTATTAGCATGTGCAATTGGCTCCCACCATGACCCATTTTTTACTTCCTGGGCCCCTCTTGTTCTGGCGTTAGAGGGAGGGCCTGGACAGATATGACTGACCTAGTCATGGCCATCCCGCCCTCTTTGTAGTTGCATGTCTGCCTCTGGGTCCATGTCACAGCATGTGACACTCTGGGGCGTGGCGGGGCATGGGTACGGAGTGGCGAGAGCTTTTCTTAGTGTCCGTGAAACAAGGGCATGAGATTTGTCACCGGAAAAGGGTTCTGTGTTGCAAAGGTCAGAATCTAACACTGGGAAGGGTCAGGTCACAGCTCTGATCATGGAGGAGGGTCAGGATTATTTGGGGGAATACCTGTTTTCAGAAGGTAATCTATAAGCACGAGTCACTAAAAGGGACCCCAGAACTTCAGCTCAGCATGCCAGTTGGGGTCTGGACACTACAGGTGGCTTGCTGTCCAGTTTTGGCCAGACTTCCCTTGCTGTGGGTCGTAGCTTTTGCTAGAGGGGTCTGTCCCCGTACTGGTTCTGGCGTAGATGGTAGTGAGGTCCCAGATACTTCAGACCTGCCATCCAATAGGGTCACTATCCCTTCTGTGGAGACTGTAACCCGGAAAGTCCCCTCAAAGTGAGCATCCTTATAGCTAAGGCTTTCTTCTAGCCCTCATCTTCTCTGTCCCCTACGTATCTCCCTTTGCCGCCTCTTTCTCAACAAACAACAAACACATAAAACAAAACTCTTCCTCCCATTTTTGATATTTGCTATCTTATCCCATTTTAAATTTTAATAATATTTAACAGAGAACAGAGGGAACGTAAGTTGTATATAGCACAGTTGCCCCAAACTCTGTCACCGTGGCTAATTTATGCTATTTTCTCCAGGTGGACCTGTTCCGTCTGGGCTTGGGGTCCCTGTAAAAGGATATTCCTACAGTTAGGCAGCTCTTCTGTCACCTTCTGGCATATGGGGGTCCAGTGGCACCCTCATCCCTTGGGCTTGCATTCATTGGTTGGCTTCCAGCATCAGGGATTAGACTGGAAAGTGGGGCTAAGGGAGCTTTGAATGAGGGAAGATCAAACTCCAGGGATGCCCGGCTCCAGCCAGGCGTGCTCTTCCAACGCGCCTCCTTCAGGCTACTGAAGATGACAAGTGACAACGAAATGCAGCCACCTAGGGAGGAAGACCAAGGTGGAAGGGCGTGGTCCTTCTAGAAGACTCACGAGGGACACGTGGCTCCCTGACACCCAGCCAGTGTTGACACTGGGGTTAGTCCTATTGGCTCTGTGGTTTGTGACTTCTGCATATACCTTGGCTCCAGAGGACACGGGCAAGAAACCAGGTGTCTTGGTGTAGTGGATTTGGCATCTATCTGTGTCTGGGTCTGCTTGTGGCCCTTGGATTTAGAGCTCTGATCCCTCTTGAAAGTTCTGGGCCTAGGTGGGTCCCATTCAAATCTGAAGACGTGCTAAATGTGGTCTGCTTTTGTCAGTTGTTTTATGTATGTCCCTTCTGCATATTTACCCGGCAGTGGAGAGACGCTGTGATGTGAGCCGGGTGTGGCCAAGAGCATGGGCTTCCAGGAGTCTGGTGCTGACTAGAAGGTATCCCCTCTTGCCTTTCCTCCAACATCAGTTTGGTGTGATCATGCTTGAAAAGCATTTAACGTCGTGAGAAGCTTTGCAATCGCCAGTTTTCATTATTGCCGTCTTTACCAATGATATTACCGTCGGATTAGCAAACTTGCTCTGTCTCCAAGCCAAAAGTTAAACTCCAAACATCACAAGGGCTAGGCCACAGCCTCATTGGTCATGCTGCAGATAGGGATACTGAGGCCCAAGAGAGGGAGAGGTTCTGGGGGTGTCTCAAGGTGAGAGCGTGGTTGGAACAAGCCTAGAACTCAAGGTCATTGCCCTGGCGTAAGGCTGTCCCGCGGGACGGATGGTCTGAGGAGATTTCTGAAGGAGGTGGGTTTTGAGGTGAATCTTGGAGTAAGAATTGTAAAGAGGTCAGCAGGAAAGCGAGGAGAGATCTTGTATGTAGAGTAGGGAGCATTGGGGTGGCAAGGGCCTAGGGGAGCATGGGTGGGTTACCTATCTTCCTGCCTCTTATTGGCCAATGTTTTATTCATCAACCAATAAGAGAAGCATATATGCAGGAGGACATCCTTCATCACCCTGTTGTAGCCTCATCCTCTATGTCTTTCCCTCTTAGGAAGATACTTGTCATTGGATTTAAGAACGGCTGTGTACAATAGCATGGTCTAGTTCTCAAGACCTGGGGCAACTGCATACATCAGCATGGTCTAGCTCTCAAAACCTAGGACAACTGTATACATCAGCATGTTCTAGTTCTCAAGGCCTGGGACAACTGTATACATCAGCATGGTCTAGCTCTCAAGACCTGGGACAACTGTATACACTGGCATGGCCTGCATCTCATGTGCTTTCATTAAATTACTTCTGTAAAGAACTACTTCTAAATAGGTTCACATTCTTATCCTAACTTGTAAGTGTCTGGCAGGACAACCACTAGCCATGCATGTCGCCTCTGCTTTTGAAATAGTAACTATGTAGCTGGTGAACTAAATGCTTAATTTTAAAATTCTATTTAAGCTTAATTAAATTTTAATGTAATCAGGCCTAAGTGACTAGTGGCAGCTATATGGGACAGCAGAGCTCCAGCGTGTTTTGACTTGACCTTTTCTCCTTGTCTGTTCTTCATTTTATTATTGAAAATAGATTTCGTCATAAGAGCTAAAATGACTCTCACTTTCTATGCGTGCGATGTTTAGAGCTTAGCTTTTGGCTTGGAGACAGAGGCCAGATGGAGTTGGCTAGCTTTAGACTCAGCACAAGAAAGGATACCCTCCTCTCCAGGTGACAGGAAAAGGGACACTTTCGTTTTCCCTTGCAGGAGTCAAGCTGGAGAGCACTGCCTGATAAGGCGGGTAAATCTGGAGTACTGGCAGCAGGGTGATAGCATGGTCAAGTTCTCACACCAGAAGAAAGGATCAGAGTCTGTCTACACCTGGGTGTGCCCCATGTGATTGGGGTTCTCTCCACCCAGTCCTTCCTCACCCCCAGCCCCAGCCCCAGCCCCAGCCTAGCCCACCCCCACCCCTAGCCCCACCCTCATCCCCCCCATTCCCATTCCCTCAACTTCCCGAAGTTCGGGTGAAATCTGCATATCCCAAAGCTATCCCCACCCCCCAGCTCTGGTCTCCCTGCTTCCACAGACAGGCACCACTGCCCTGTTTTAGAATACCGTGTTTATTTTTCCTGCCGTTGGGCACCGTCTTCAGTACACCTTCATTTGTTTACTTGCTTGCCTGTTTCTGACCCTTCCGGATGAGACTTTACCCGAGGAAAGCTAAAGTCTAAGCACGTTCGCACGCGTGCGGCTGTTTGGGTTTTAAGCTTCAACTACCCTCTCTCCCTCTTCTCTCCTTCCCTCACTCGGCCATCTCCCCGGCTCATACAGAGCAGCTCCCGAAGCTCGAAGGCGTCCGCCTGCCTGTCTCTGCTGCTGCTCATGCTCAGCAGCCTGGAATTTTCATCAGGATTTTTTTTTGGGGGGGTAATGTCCAGGCCCCTGCCTCTACCTGGCTGCCTCTACCTGCCCAGGTGAGAGGCTCAACCCTGCTGTAGGGAGAGGGTGTGGGAGGGCAGGCTGCTGACCAGGGCCAGGGAACACTGTGCTGCTTGGCATAAGACACAAATGAGGGATTTAGAGGCATGGAGCTGGGAGGTGTTGCTAGGCAACCTCTGCAAGGGGCCTGAGGTAACACAATCTGGGAAGCAGCCTGGTAGCAAGGCCTCCTAAGGACAAACCTGAATGTCACCACCAGCTCTTTCTGAAGGCAGACAGGCGGGGAAGGTCAGCAGAGCGTTTCTGGTACTGAGGCAGCGGGACCGCTGCTTCCACGGCTCCTTCATGGGTGGTGCCTCCTTCTCCTTTAATTTGTGCCCCCCCCCCATTTTTCACAAAGGAGGGTCAGAAGTGGTTCTAGAAGTATTCACACCATAGCAAGACAGACATTAAATAAGGAAACACGGGGGGCAAGGGAAAAGAAAGCTAAGTCAAAGGCTTGGCTGTCTGTCAGGCAGGCCATCGCGGTGTGTTTGCAGGCCTGTGGGACACAGTGGAGGACGACAGCGTCCAACAGCCATGCGTCCTGCCTTAGCTGGGTGGCAAAGGCTGTGAGTCCAGGCTCCTGGTGAGATGTGGCTGTCAGTCAGACTCTGAGCTGAGATGTGGCTGTCAGTCGGACGCTGAGCCTCCTAGCTCCTGGTGAGATGTGGCTGTCAGTCAGACTCTGAGCCCCCTAGCAGCCAGCAAGAGGGAGCGCGATGACGAGAGTCCATGTGTGTCAACAATGCTGTATTAGTAGCAACATAGTGACAGTGGCCTTGTCCTCCTTCCTCGATGTGCAGGCCCTGCATAGGGTCCCCAGTTCCCCCACCCTCTCATTTCCAGGACCAGCCTCTCGGTTGAGGCCCTGGTATTGCCCCAGAGACCCAGGCAGGCAGGCACATTGTGAGAGTCCCAGCCCCTTTGGCTTAGCCCACGCCCCTTGAGTTTTAGGCCAGCGTTTCCAGTGCCTAGAATGCAGTTTCTTCCCATTGGCCTTTGCCCCTCCGCTTGCCTGTTAGAGCCCCGGGCGTGTGGCATCTCAATGACGTTTCCAGCGGCACTCTGAGCCACTGTGCCAGCGTTAACTGTCAACCTCAGGGACTGGAGTTGCCTTAGATGGGAGTCTTGATGGGAAGGCTGGCTAAAACCCTGTGGGCGTGTCTGTGGGGGATCGCCTTGATTGTTAGTCAACACGGGAAGGCCCAGCCCACTGCTGGCAGCACCATTTCCTGGACAAGTGGTCCTGGGAGGTGAATAAAAGCTCACTGAGGGTAGGCTTGTGAGAGAGTCCGAGAGCTAGGCCAGCAGGCCGTCTCCCTCAGTGGCTTCCGCTTCAAGTTCCCGCTGGAGTTCTCACCCTGATGTCTCTCAGAGGCAGACCGTGGCTTGAAATGAGCCAGAATCAATCCTCTCCTCCCCCGAGTTGCTTTTGGACAGAGTGCTTTGTCACAGTGAACGAGCAGAAGCAGGAACAGGCCTGAGGCAGCTGAGGAGGCAGAGGCAGAGGCCGCCGAGCCGTTCACCCATGCCCCACAGAGCCGTAGCCCACTGTTTCTGCCTCATTACTAGGAGTTCTGTTTGGGAACCGCCTTGCTGGCAGGCCCATAATGTGTTTGGTCCTCCCGCCTCTGGCATCCCACTGGGAGACACGTGGCAGCTCTGTCGCTCACTTCAGTGAAGGGGTAGGACGACCGCTTCACCTCATGGGGTAGGATGAGAAGATGCCGGCATCTGGGGTCTCCCCCCCCCTCACTCCCAGGGCTGCCCTTTTGCCTACATATTTATTGTCCGTTCACCAAATGTCCTCTGATCATGTTGGATGCTCTGTGGTAACCTCTAGTCTCTGACGTAGGAGACTCAGTATAGCTGAGGGATTTACACACGGCCTGAGAATACGGGGGGGGGGGGGGGGGCGGAGTAAGAGGGTAAGAGTGCCAGCTAGCAGCAACAAAAATAAGGACACAGGCGGGTCACATACACATGGCCCTGTGCCATGTCAGGTGTCCTGGACCCCAACCCCCAACACTCAGCAATGAGCTTTCTCTAAAAGTTCCAAGCCGTCTTAACCACAAGAGCCCAGAATACTGTTCCTTTGTAGGCTATCCAAACGGAAGCAAGAAAAAGCCTCATTTTTCTTGTTCCTAGAGGTGAACTTCTACTCAGGTGACCTAAATGTGTAATCCTAGAAGGTCTAGCCTGTGACACGCGCTGTCCTATAAAGGGAGTGCTTGCAGCCAAGGGGCCCACTTCTCCCTGAGGAATGTTGAGGGGATCTTAAACACACAGGGAAGCACCTTGTGCACTTCCTATTAATGAACACCGTCTGCTCTCGGCTTACACAGCCAAGCTCTTGGATGCATTTCAATGTTTTGATCCCCCTTTAAAGAAAGCGAAGGCAGCTATTCCAGGGATGGATTCTGAAACAGCCTGTGGCAGCCACCAGAGCAGGAGCTGATTGGACTGCTGGTTATCATCCCATACATCTGCCTGAGATATAGAGACTTGTGTAAGTAAAAACACATTTCTTCTCTTCCAGAATCCCAGGTACTCAATGAAGGGATGGCCAGGCCAACCAGGAAGCAGCACCAGGCACTTTCTCAGACTCGGGGAGTAGCTGCCCACTGATAGAGGAGATTTAGGCACGTTTGATCTCTGGTCTCTGACTAGCAGTGTTTGTCTTTTTATAAATGATTGAAGAGAATCTTGCTTTGTATGGTTAGGGCTGTTTTAAGAAAGCCAAGCTCCATTCAATGGCAGGCATCTGGGATGGGCTGCTGCTGGATTCCAAGTGGAGAAGGGCGACATTACCCTCAAGGCTTGTTCTTCAGATCTGTCAGCTGGTGGCCCATAGTGCGTTGCAGCTCTCCTGCAAACGGGGCATGTGGCATTCTTTTGGACAGTCCGTCTTCTGGCCTTCATCCTGGCCCTGCTTACGGCCATAGCATAGCTTCCTCACTGTGTACCCATACCCGGTCTTGGTCCTGAGTCTGGCAGATGCCCTGGAGAAAGACTTCTTCTTGAGTTCAGGATGATGTCAGGGCACCTGGGGACATCAAATATGGAAGAAGCATGTGTGGATGGGGGGGTGCACGTGTTGCTCAGGCCTTGGATGCATGGAGAGACAGACAAGCCAGTCCAAATTCAGATGCTGATCATCACTAAGACAGCTCAGCTTAAGGAATATGGAAGAAGCATGTGTGGATGGGGGGGTGCACGTGTTGCTCAGGCCTTGGATGCATGGAGAGACAGACAAGCCAGTCCAAATTCAGATGCTGATCATCACTAAGACAGTTCAGCTTAAGGAATGTGTAACACCCCATGCCCACCCACCTCCCTAAGACATACAGGCCGAGTGTGGCTTCCAGCATCCAGACTGCTTGGGGTCAAGTCTTTTTTTTTTAAATAATTCATTTAACTTTATTTTATTTGCATTACAATTGTGAACTGCCATGTGGGTGCTGGGAATTGAACTCGGGTCCTCTGGGAGAGTAGCCATGCTTTTAACCACTGAGCTAACTGCCATGTGGGTTTGGGGTCAAGTCTTACACTCTCCAGGTAGTGGCCCTGTGGTTTAGGCAGGAGTTTCCTGCCAGCATGCAGTTCAACCTATGTGTCCAGCATGTGCTGCTCCATAGCTGAGATTCTGAGCTCACTCTGTTGTTGAGAGCGTGTGAACTTCTGTCACTGCGTGAGCAGCTCCACATGCAAACGCTCAGCAGGCTCTCAGGGAAGGGAAAGATTTCAGTTTCGTTAGTAAAGAAATAATGTGTGAAGGCAAGCATATTAAAAGTCCTATAAATACAAGCTCAAAGACAAGTTACTACTTATTAATATTCATACTTGGCGAGGAACTCCACCTAGAATGTAAAATCTGTAAGAGAATGATTTCTCTACCTCAGTAATTAGAGATAAAACAGTCAGACAACTTATAAAATCATTCCAGTCTATCACAGAGCTTGCAGATACAAGGTAACCCAGTGAATTGAAACTGAGCAGCCAGCTCTCCCAAGAAACACAGTTGTTATATCTTGAGGGGAGCAGCAAGAGGAGGAGGGAGGAGGAAGAGAAGGAGGAGGAGCAGAAGGAGGGGGAGGAGGAAGAGGAGGTGGGAGAAGGAAGAGGAGGAGGAGGAGGGAGAGGAAGAGGAGGAGGAGGGAGAAGGAAGAGGAGGGGGAGGGGGAGGAGGAGCAGGAGGAAGAGGAGGGGAGGAGGAGGAGAAGGAGGGGGAGGAGGAAGAGGAGGAGGGGGAGGAGGAGGAGGAGGGGGGGTAGGAAGAGGAGGTGGGAGAAGGAAGAAGAGGAGGAGGAGGAGGGGGAGGAGGGGAGCAGGAGGGAGGACGTGACTAGCAAACGGCCCTGAGTGTGATACACCTACTAGGTGGGTGACAGTGTGCCTTAGAACTCATTGGAGCCACACGTACAAGGTGGGTGTGTGTCGCCCTTGTCTCCCTCTAGTGCATGGGCTTCCACGAACCTAAAGAAAGAGTTGGGGCAGACCACGGGGTAGAGGATGGCCAGGCTGCAGGAGCGTCCTAAACTGTAGTTAAGTGTAAGGAAAGTCGATGGAACCACCCGCCACTCCTGACCTTTGGGGACTAAGAGGTGAGGCTGTCTGCCGGCAGCAAGGGAACAGGTGTTGGGGTCCCATCTGCAGCTAGAGCAGGATAACCAAAAGAAACCACCCGGAGCCCTGCCTGGGGAGCAGCCCATAAATGGGGGAAATTAATGCGTGGTGCCAGAAATCAAGTCAAGGCTCTAGGGGAGAGAGAGTGGGTAGCCAGTGTGGGGTGTTGCCTTGTGTTCTCATATGTTCATTAGAACTGAACAGAGGACCAGAGACACAGGCCAGGCACAGAGTCCTTGCCTAGTGTATGCAAGGCAAAAGCAAACA